CCAAAGACAGAAAGGTTAGAAATGTAGGCTTTCCTTAGACCATATCAACTGATGCCTTGCACAGGAACAGGTCTGAGATGGTTTCAGGCAGAGAAACATCACTGTAGAATGAACTAGATTTTACTTGGACCACAGGAAAAGTATGAGAAGGTTACATTCCTTTGGTGACTAAGAGTCCCAATTAAGTATGGCAGCAGGTGACCTTCACCAATGTCAGACCAGCCATTTGCCCTGGGTTCATTTGCTGTCATACTAAAATGGGCTCCTGGTAGAGACTGGGCTATGGCTGAGAAAGAGAGAGAAGCATCTCTCAATGCAAACAGTGATTACATGGGAGCTTCCACTACAGGCTGCTCAGCTAAACGGACTGTCATGCAAACATTCCAGCAAAAGGAGATCCAAAAGCTTCAGAGAGACTGTAATGAATCAGGAGGAGCCAGCCTGAGCCTCTCCCGAATACTGGACTACCTTATTTCCTAGGACTTAAGGAGTCTTTCAGCCCAGTTCTTGCCTATTTCCCTGAAGGTCATCTCCCTGATCATCTACAGACCTGCCTTAATGAACTCATTAATATAAGAGAGCTGGAGAGTTCCTCTCTCAGTTCTTAAGGTTCTGCACTAATTCTGGGCACTAAAACTCATTCAAGAAAGCCTGTGTGACTCCTGCTTCCTTAACTGTGCACTGCAGTTAAAGCATTGGACACTTAGCCTGTGTATTCCAATTCTTGCAAATAGATTTTGTTACATTTTCACATGCTGTTGTGTCATGGAAAACAGCCAAATGGCAACAGGCATGGCTGACCTGGGACTGCAGTGCAAAGGAAGTGCCCTCACCAGCCTGAAATGGCTAATAAGCGCTGCTCTGATCCCACCCAGGTCACCTGACTTTGCCTCCAATATATAATATAGCAAAGCCTTCTGGGTCCAATTCAAGGTGTTGGTTATCACCTTTAAAGCCCTCCATGGCATGGGGCCAGGCTACCTGAGGGACCGCCTCTTCCCCACGATTTCAACCCGTCCCACCCGATCACACAGAGAAGGCATGCTCCGGACCCCCTCGGCAAAAGAACTCCGACTAGCGGGGTCCAGAAGGTGGGCCT